TTGGAGTGAGAGTTCTCATCATTTACCTGAGCTCACCTCTTCCAATTACCTGCCTGAAAGACACTGTCCCAGTCCCAGATCTTAAATCCTCAACCCAACTCCTACTTCTTGGCACAAGCATCCCTATATTGCCCACCTCAGCCAAAACTAACTTCCCTCTTTACTTCCTGCCTTAGTAATGAAACAGAGCAGAATGATCTGCATTTTAATCCCACATATGATATTTGCTCCTGATGTGATCATTTTAAAAGTTAGCTGTGTTGTTTAAACTTAGTATTCTCATCTGAAACATAAGTAGGATAATAATTAGTGCTTAAAGTTTTGTGAGGATTAAATTAAATTATATATTCATTATTATAGTACAGTGCCAGGCACTTAGAAATCTATTATTAATATTATGCGCAAATTTGCTGTAAACAGCCTTTTGCAGACATATCATTATTGATGCAATAATCTCTTCAGATAAATTTCTTGATGTTCGGGGTTAGAGGTATGCTTTCTCTTTTATCTCTTTTGATATTTATTTACCCACTATTTTCTAGAATGCTATCAACTTATGTCCTAACGAAAAGCACATGGAAGTTCCAGCTTATCCAAACTTGGCCAATTATAAGATGTCTTTATCTCTGCCAATCTGATAGAATAAAAATTGATCATTCATTTTTCCTATGCAATTCTATGTTGCTGTGAGGTTGAACATCTATCACATTTTTTAGTCATTAATGTTTCTTAGCCATTAATGTTTCTTTTTTAAAAAGAAGCAGGCCTTCTTGTTCTGAACAATATTTAAATACTCTCCTTTATAAGAGTTGGTAAAATTGTGTTTATCATGTGTAAAACTTTTTTCTGTTCTTTGGCTTTGTTTTTATTGTCTTCTGTTTATTGTCATATAGTTAATTTCTAAGCAGTTGAATTTATTAATAATTTCTTTTAGTGAGTCTAGGGTTTGAAACAGACTTCTTTCCCACTCCAAGATTATACAAATAGTCTTTCCTAACTTATCAAAATATTTTATAGGATGAAGTCTTGTTCTGTTTTTTTGTCTGTTTGTATTTAAATTATATCTTTTCAAAATACCTCGTGGAATTTATTTGAACCTGGTAGTAATATGTTAATAGGAGTTGAAATTTTTTGAATCTCTTTTTTTCACTTTTGTTTTCAAAGAAAGGAGTACTTTATTTTTTACTTTATTTGGTTTAGATTAGCTCAAGGTGTACAACAGATTGAGTTTAAGGTACAGAGATTTCCCATCAACTCTCTGCTCCCACATATGCATAGCTTCTCCCATTATCAACACCACTCATCAGAATAGCACATTTTCTAGTAAGCATGAGCCTACAGTGGAATAATCACAATCATCCAAATTCCACAGTTTACCTTAGGGTTCAGTCTTGGTATTTGGACAGAAGTATAATGATTACCATACAGAGTACTTTCACTGCTCTGACATTCCTCTGTGTTCTGCCCATTCATCTCCCCAGAGCCCAGCGCCATCACTCTCAACCATGGATCTTTCCAGGTTCTCCGTAGCTTTGCCCTCTCCAGAACATCATACAGTTGGAGCCACACAGCCTTTTCAGATTGGCTCCTTTCACTTAGTAATAGGCATTTAGGTGTCCTCCATGTCTTTCACAGCTTGATAGCTCATTTCTTTTTATAATAGTTTTGAATAATATCTCCTTACCTGAATTGTCAGTTTACTTATTCTTTCACCTACTGAAGGAAGGAGTTATTTTTCATTCTAAATGGATAGCCTCACTTTGGTTTGAATTATCATCTTTATCATATTCCACACTCCCTTACGTACATAATATAATTTCTGGAGCATATTCTGTTTTACTGGCTTGCCTATTCCTATATCAGTGCATGGTGTACTAATTTCTGGATACTTTATGGAATTTTGGAGTTATGGTTTGGTGGCGCTAGTGGTAAAGAACCCACTTGTCAATGCAGGAGACATAAGAGACGCAGGTTGGATCCCTGGGTTGGGAAGATCCCTGGAGGAGGACATGGCAAACCCCTCCAGTATTCTTGCCTGGAGAATCCCATGGACAGACGAGCCTGGAGGGCTACAGTCCATGGGGTCGCAAAGAGACACGACTGAAGCAACTTAGCACGCATGTTATAAAGTTGTATATTGATATACAAGAAAGGTATTGTATATATACACACATATATATACTTTTTTAAACAGGACAACCTTCTGAATCTTATTATTTCTGACAATCTTATTGAATTGACTTGAGGCTTCTAAAAGAGCACTTCTGAGCACTAGGTCCTCAACTGTTGGGATTTGTTACTAAAAAAAAAAAAGAGTTTTACTGCCAAAGAAGATCACAAAATTGTTATAAACAAAGCTATCAATATGAGATTATATCCTGTTGAATCTACAAAAAGAGGGTATGGCAAAAAGCATTTCCATAAATTATTTGGCCACGAATCTCTTTTGTTTCTTTTTCATAAAGGATCTCACAATGCTAGTGTTCTGAAAAACAATAATTATTTTTTTGTTCTCTGCAGCACATGGCATAGGCAATCTTAAAATATTAGGTCAGTTAATACACTTAACTAATACATACAGATTCCTCCATTAGTGTAAAACCCACACTCAAACACAGAACTATGATTTGTGCATTTTGGGACAGCAGTTTTAACATTTCTTTCTACAAGACACTTTTGTTTCTTTTTAAAAGGCAAAGATGCCTCAATATCAAGAATCACCCAGTGGGAATGATAATATAATATACATCTTATTTGAGTCTCAGGGTTTCCCAGGTGGTTCAGTGGTGAAGAATCTGCCTGCCAGTGTAAGAGATGCAGGGGACGCAGTTTTGATCCCTGGGTAGGGAAGACCGCTGGAGGAGGAAACGGCAACCCACTCCAGTATCCTTGCCTGGGAAATTCCAGAGGAGCCTGGCAGGTTACAATCCATGGGCGCAAAGAGACAGATACAGCTGAGTGACTGAACACGTACAGAGTATCAGTAGGCAAGAAAAGTATATAGTAGAGGCAAACTTTTGAGAAATAATGACTAATAATTTTCTAAAAATGTTGAGATACATGAATTGGCAGTTATAGGGGGTATGCTGTATGTTATTTACCAAGCATGATAATAAAAAATTAATTAACAGAAAGAACCACCCAATGAAATCAAAGATGACCTTCATAGCAAAGTCCAAGCTAAAAACGATAGCACAGAAAAAAAAAAATTCAAACAGTGCAATAAAATCCAGCACTTTTCATATCGTTCCTCTGATCCGTGGCTCTATTCACTGGTCTTTCACCTAGCTTTTGTCTCCCCTGCCCTGATGTGGGAGGAACAGATGGAGAACATGATTATAATCACTAGTCAAATTGGCAGACCGTGTCTTCTACAGTTCCACCGTATCAGCTGTGCCTTTCTCTGTAGGAGGTGAACGGAAGGCAACTCAGCAAAGGAACAGACTGTCTACTCCTTCTGCCAAACCCTGAAATCAAGGAGCCCACACACAGAAATAAGATAAAACTAAGTTTAGCTAAAAAATAAAATGGAGACTCCAATAATAGAAACAGCCAACATCAGTTTTGATAGTCGGGAAATTAATAAACAAATTATAGTGGCACATTCATATGATGGAATATTTAAAATATATTAAGGACCTTATTTCCATAAAAACATCAAGGTATACAGGAAAATCTGCAAAGTAATGTTCAATGAAAGAGCTGGGTGCACAGTGTGTGAAAAATTATATACATACTTGAGGAAAAGTCATTGAAAGAAAATACAATTATAGGTCAATAGTTGTGGAATTACAGGATTTTTTCTTTTATTCTTCTCTATCTTATAAACATTTTACAATGAATATGTATTGTTTTTATAATCAGAGAAAAACATTTAATAAAAAAAGAAAACATTTAATAGTCTCAGTTTTCCATTTTTAAGTTTGGATATTTAGGTTTATAAAAACCCTAAAGCACATATTTCTACATCCGTGGTAATGAAGTCTTCAGCAAAGAATTCTATAAAATACCAACCATATTTTTAAGAAGTGCCAAAACAATAGTAAGCTTAAGTAGTATTTAAAATGATAGTTTAAATTAAACCAAGAGTATAACACAAATACCTTTCCTTTTTTACTCTACCACAGACTTCTATCTTTAATACTTTAGCCTAATAATGAATACTGTATTTGGTATTTTTTTATTTTAAAAATGTGACTATAAGTATTGTCATATTGTCTTTAGATAAGAAGAGTGCCTCTTTCCCTGACTAGAATGTATTTGGCTTTTAAATTTGATTCAGTGACTGTTTTAAGCACAAATAAGTCACAATACAACTGTAAAGATGTGAAACACTATTTAGGAGGAATAACACCCAGAATGAGAAGAAAATCATAGATTTCCAGAAAAACTCACCAAAAAAATTATAAATGCACAGATAGACAGGAATTTACAAACAATTCTGTCATTTAATAATGATAATCATATATAAGTATATAATACATAAAATAACATGTAAATATATAGTGATCAATAATAAGACAAAGTGTTCTACATTGCATCCACATCTGCTTCCCTCATCATCCCCCTCCTGATACGATCGTCTATCCACAATATAAATAGTACTTTTGCTTGCAATGACAAGGCATTGCCCTGTGGCTGAACCTATTTCATGCTTTAAGATGAATATAAATGATTTTGTAATAAATGAGTTTAACTGGTATTTTTTAAGGTGTGCAAATTTATTTCATTTATGCCTTCTTTGCCAGAACCCCATGATCCCAGTTGCAAAAAAAATAATAATAATCTATGAAGAGACAACTTGAAAGAAATAAAGCAGCTTTGCCCTCCTTACTACAATCACTAACGTTTCTAATTTTTTTGGAAAAAAGACTCTTGCCTTGCTATCATTTCTCATGAGAAAACTTCTCATAAAGAGAAAGTAATTCAACCACTATAACAAGCTGAATTCTATCTGTTCTACTTCCTACAAAGACAAATATTAGACCAGGAAAACTTACCAGGTTAGTTACACATGACTTTAAACAGCTGTTTAAAACTGTACACTGGACCACAGAAATCCATAGGCAGCCAAGAGTTGCAAACTTGACAAGTTTCAGACTAAGCCAGTAAACGTTCTTCATCACTTCACAAATGGCGGATTTTCAGATGAACTTTCTTCTCATTTTCTCCATTTCGCTATCTGAATTCTTTGGGTTTCATCACTTCAGTTGAAAGAGTGGCTGGTGGACTTTTTGGTCTTGTTTTGATGTGTTGGGGTATCTTTGCCTTTTAAATAATGTTTAGAACTTTGAATACTAGATAGCTTGTATCATTCCCATAACAGTGATTTCATGAGGCTTCCTTTTACTCCCATAAAGAAAGTCAGCCACTGAGTAAAGGTTAGGTCTTAGGAGAGCGCTTCACAAGGAAAGTAAACAAAGCAGAGAAGGCAAATTGCATTTCAGCCAGCACGTGACACGAGCAGAGTCTGAGACGGGATCAGACTCAGTGGACCCTCCACCACTTCACTTCTTTGAGGTTTGCTCAGCTATGCAGGAAACTGGGTTTTAACCATGGTTAGCAAACGGTAACACTATTCTAATAAAGAATTATCAAAAAAAAAAAAAAAAATTCAAAGCGCCCAAATCAAACGATGCAGCAAAGAGGAAAAACATAACCCTTTGAAACCAAACACACATACTTTAAAATGAAAAAGCAAACTAACCTGAAATTAATAGACAAATACTCTGAGGGTCAGCTAAAGACAAGGAAGTTTGTTAGGCACTTTCAGAACTTCACTACATATTAACTAAAACACTGCCTTATCAAGTCTATTGAGATAGAGAACTGAAACTAGTCACCAAAGAGACCTAAGATATGTCTGAGGGTAACTGTCTTGGAAAGGATACATTGTACAAATTTCAATCAGCTCAGCATGGAGATTAAGTTCAAGCCCAAAACAAAGAATTTGAAAAGTTTGCAACATACAGAAGTGAGTCATTCTGGATAGCTACTTTTTAGATTGCCAGAGGGTTAACTCTTTAAGGCCAAATATTGTCATGTTGGTATTTTTGCTCATGACAATCTACAGTATCAAATCAACTTCCTTGTCTTCTTAGATAAATTATACTGATGTAACTTACCCTTGTGTTAATGACCTGAAGTTCTCATTGTGAGGAACACCCACACGAGGGTTTGTTTCCAGCTGAGCATCCTTTAGTAAATGCTAACCAAACTGATGAACAACATAAAGGATGGTACTGACTCTAGATTTATCCCTAAAACCTGTTCTCTTGAAAAAATTCCCCACCCTCTGCCTGTTTTTTGTTCATTGTCTGCATTTGAAAGAACATAGATCAAAGAATAAGCAACTCTCCAATTTCTTGGTCAGAGGATATGGCCATTTTTCTACAAAAGCATGTTTAAGTCAGAGAATAAACTTTCTTGCCTATGGAATTTTCTCTTTGCAAAGAAATGTGTCTTTTCCCGGTGCCACTAGCACCTTCTGTCTTGTTAGCACGAGTAATATTTGTAACTGCTACTTCACTAGGTGGACCACTAAGTACTTCCTTGAAAACCTAAATATAATCTTTACTCTCACTTAATCTAATTCTTTGATGTATCCTTTCAATATCAAGATTTGTGCTTATTCTGATTTGAGGAATTTAACTGGCACATAGATTCGCACTTGTGAAAAATGAAGCATGTTCCAAGATGTTTGTTATAAAGTTAATTATATTAGCAAAAGACTTAACCTAAAATTTCAATAATCTAATAGTGGATCAACCAATTCACACAACTTGTCCAGGTAATTTCTCCAAATAGACTTCTTCGGACTTCTTCACAGCCCAATAGTCACCCCGCAGTTGGGTAGCTTACATGGTGACTTAGAGCTTTGATAAAAGTGCGCCAGTGTTACGTGTATTGACTTCCATGATTCATCTTGAGAAATCATTCAGCTATTTTTTTTTTAATGAGGCTATTTTCCCCATTTTATTGGTTACCAGAAAGGCACAAAACTGACCTGATTCAAGAAAAGGGGAATTAGATCCTACCTTTTGAGATGGGAATGGCAAAGTCCTAGAAGAACGTGTAGGCTGGGAGAGACTATTGCACCATCTTTGGAATAAAGTCTGCCACCGTGTAGGCAGTCATGACTGGAATGTAGACGTTTCAGTTACAGCAGTTTAGTTAACTAATAACACAGTTCAAATTTCAGTTAGCACGATATATTACCAGTGAGTATTCTGCATTAAATACAAACTTCTCTTCTATCTCTGCAGTCCACAAATCAGATGTATATAGCAGATGCACATGAAGATCAGATGTCAATCATGTCACTTCTTTGAAAGTTTATCAGTGGTCGGCCCCTCGCTGCGTACCTGTTATTCGGTTCTCACACAGACAGCAAAGCAAGGGATCGTGTTACCTCCTTGTCTCCCAGTGATAAATCCACATGACATTTTGCAAAATGATGTTTAGAAAAATGGATAATTGAAAAAAGGAATTGGCTGACAAAGATAAAATTGCAGCAGAGAAATAAAAGCTGAAAACCTGGAAGTGATATTTGAATCAAATGTAAGTGGAGGATTTGATATGAAAAACAAAGGCAACATAAGCAAAAATAAACAAAGAGAACTATAGCAAATTAAGAAGTTTCTGCATAGCTAAGGAACTCATCAACAAAATGAAAACACAACCTACCGAATGGGAGAAAATATTTGCAAATCACATATCTGACAAGAGGTTAATATTTATTTGTAATGTCTGAGTTTTGTACCATGTGTACATGTTACAGCTTCAAAAAAATTAATGTTTAAATAATAACTTTTTAACATATTCTATTCGAGAATTTGAAAGCACAGGACTTACTTGCATGCCTCCAAATTCATCTCAAGTTAGAATAGGATACTTGAAACACGTGACTAGAGTTCACACCAAACAAGTTCCTCCAAGATGGCTTTGAACAACATTTTTGTACATGCATTAACAATGTTATCCTAACAAATAAGACTTAAACTCCTGCAAATCCCTCAGAATAAATCGACTTTCCCATGGGATCAATTCTGCAATGAACACATCACATTCTGAAACAATGGCCTGGTTCATAGTTGAATCAGTGAGGTGTCACTATGAAAGGAGAAATTGTTAAAATGTTCCTTTATTCTAATCCTATTTCATTAGTATAAGCTTTACAGATGGTTAACAACAGATTTGATGTGATCAAATACATCTGAGTTTTGGAATTATATATATTGAAGATATACAATGTACATTCTCAAACTCAGTTGCAGTCTACCAGTCAGTACCACATGGGGAATGAAATTTTACAGGGAAATAAAATTTTACAATCATCAAAAGGAGCCCCAGAGAAGGACCTTGTCTGGAGAAGGGCCATGTCAACATTCACGGCCTAAGAATTTGCCATGCAAGCAAATTCTTACTCCAGCACATGGCCTTGCCATCCTGCGTTACTACTTTATCAGACCCACTAGAAGCCTGATCATGGTGGGCCATAGCACATATGCTGAACCTTGAAACTGGCTAAAAAGACAGATACACTAGCCATCACCAAGGCAATAATTATTCCTATGGTGGGTATCAATCGAGGGGGTATGGTCCCCCACTGACATTCATCAGAGCCAGTGCATCTCCTCTCCATGCCTCAAGGAAGGGGTGATGCTACAGCATGCCAAGGAGGAAAATATTAAATTATTAGCTTTTTAGGTTCAACAGCCAATGTTCTCGCCTGGAGGAACAGAGGCCAGAAGCACACATTTCAGTTTCTGGTCTGCAATTTGGCTTTGCTACATTATTATCAAATTTAAGTTCTCTTTTAGCCTGGGGCCTCAGTGGCTGAAATGCACAAGTGAGGAGTTATTAGACACTCGTGTCCTCCATAGTCCTTCCCTGAGGCTTGAAGGTGGAAATAATATCAATCACACCACACTTTTTGCACAGAACAACAAAAGATAAAAATCACAATACAAAGGCATCATTTGTTTTTTTTGTTTTTTTTTTTTCCGGCTCTTCTCGTATATTTATTTACCTCTGAGTGCTCAGGTGATTTTATTATTGCTGCTATTGTTCAGAGCCTGTTTTCCTGCTGCTTCCAAGTTTGGAGCTTTCTCAGAATCATAAAGTTCTAGGAAGCTGGTTTTTAAGTGGTTGCTCTTTGTATGAGGTACTTAACAGTTCTTAAAAATCTGCCTCAGGAGGAGTTTTTTTAATGATTTGAGGAAATTAATGCTGTAATATTAGGTAGAAAGGAGTATATAAAATTACATATGTATTCTGAGACTGGTCTCAAGTATGTAAAGTAAAACCAGCTCCCTCTCTCCCTCTCTCCCTCCCTCTCCCATCTTTCCTTCCCTCCTTTCTCCTTTCTTTCTTTCTTCACCCCTCAGAGAAAAAAAATATTCTGATATATTTCTACCAATTTTTTTTTGTTTTATTTTGAAAGTATTTGCACTTTTCGAGCGTTTTCAATCTAATTGAGACTAGAAGGCCTTGTGTTTCATGGAAAATACTTTCAGAGATTGAATCCAGACACTGGATGACCACTTAACATTTTACCTACAGCCAGCCCTGAAGTCAAAATTGCTTTTGTAATAAGTTGAGAGGTTTTCAAATGTCAAACCAGGCCCTCTTCTCCCAGCCTCCAGATCAGAGGAGTCAGAATCTACAGCAGGGTTCTCATGATTCCTCTCCGACAAGAGTGCTCCCCACTTCTGTTTTCTTTATTTCTGCTTTCTGACCACACCCCACAGCCTGCAGGATCCCAGTTCTCCTACCAGCGATAGAACCTGTGCTCTCTGCAGTGGAGATGCAGCGTCTTAACCACTGGACTGCCAGGAAGTCCCAGCCTTTGTTCTTAATGGAACTTCTCCAACCAGTGTGGCTCTGGGCCCAGGCACCCCGCAGTGTCACACAGCATCTTGCAGACAGCCACACACCCCACCGGCACCCCACAAGGACAGAACTGCTGCTGTTTCCAACCCTACTCCAGGCATGAAATACATGAACAGAGCAAAGAAAGCAACTGCCAAAGGACAGAAGGTGGGCAGAGGGCCGGAAAGCAGGGATGCAGCTCACCGAGCCAGGGCACCTCGATGGAACATGGGAGCAGGTAAGGGAGGCAGCGTCTCTGACACGTGAGAACCAAGTCCCAGGACTTTTATCTGGCAATGAAGTCGCGCACTCTAAGAAATGTGGGATTATAATTGTAATTATTAAGCTGTGAGTGGTGTGGGGAAAATGCCAACATTGCCCTTACTACAGATATTGAGAAACAAACAAAAGAGGGGGGAAAACAGGAAAACTTACCCAATAACTAATTAAGTTGCAGGAAAATGGGGATCAAGAGGATGGTCCTGTCCCAGGTCTTGGGCGAATTCCTGGGATGGGCCACCAGGTGAGGGTTCCTGGCTTCACACAGGAAAAAACTCAAGAGCAATCCATAGTAAAGTGAAAGCAAGTTTATTTAGAGAGATACACATTCCTGGATGAGAATAAGGTCCATCTCAGAAGGTGACAGCAGCCCCAGGGTGCAGGAGTGGTTGTTAGTAGTTTTTAAGGGCTGGGTAATTTCATAGGCTACCGAGCGGGAGGAATATTCTCTCTCTGAGAATGGGTAGAGATTTCC